GTGTGTGCGCGCATGTGTGAGTGCAGTCAGGCATACCCGAACAAGCCGGGTGCTTCCCGCACATCCACTCATGGGCACACACATACGTGCAGGTTGCACCGCAAAAAGCTACGGATGTCTCTGCAACTCGTCTCTGAGCCAGCCGAGGAAGTGAAAAGGAGCACTGTGAGTGGGAGCACTCTGCCACTGAATGAGTCACACGTTTGCTGACATTCATATTGATGGGGGGGAAAAAATCTGTCACACTCAAAATTTAATTGTAATGTTTTTGCGGCAAATGGCAAGAAACAAGGGAACAAACATTTTAGGTTATAATCCCACATGAAATATTTGTTGTGTTGTTTTCCCCTGTTGCTTCTGCTTTTTTGGAATGAATACATTAGGATCTAATGATTCTTTGTTGGATCCACTACTGGTTCTGGTGCTTATATTTGAAATGTGTCAACCTTGGCGTCCCGACACTTGTGTGATCCATCCCTTTGGAACTGGGGTAGAGGCTGGAAGGTCGCCGGATTGAACCTCCAGACCAGCTGGGAAAATAGCCGAAGAAGCTGCTCAGTGACCATTTGCAGGAAACTGTGGCCACTTTAGGCAGCTATTGAGTGGAAATGAGTGTAGCTTTATGGCTACAAAGAAGACTGTTTCTCAAGAACAGCTTGCTCAGCAAACCATCCTTCGATAAATAATGGTTAGAAATTGCTGCCAGAGTTGGAGTCGATGTTTCTCTTGCTGCATTTCTGTAGTCCAAACACCTGCAAGCTGCCCGCTCCTTTGTGCTCACAAAGTGATATTGAGAATCAGATCTCAAATAAAACTGGTCATATATGCCAGGATGAAAAATCATTTTTTTATTTTAACACATTTGACAGTATCAGCACAAAAACACAGCTCCTGTCCAATCGTAGGTCACGTTCAGCTTCATCTGTGAAGTAGATATTTCTGCATCACAGATATAGATGTACAAACAGCTTTTCCATTTTGTTCTTTTTCCCGTAGGTATCCTTTCAGTGCTGCTATGCTATGCATTTTTTCCTGATCTCTTCCTTCCTACACACATCACATCACTGCCACCATGCCACATGCCGTAACATGTAGCACATCCTGCTACACATTCCCCTCAGGGTTGCCCCTAGCGACACACACTAATACACTCTCCTGCGCCATCATGCATGAGAAGTGACACACACACACACACACACACGTATATACTGTGTATGGTATAGACACTCCCTTGCAGTTGTCCCCAAACCGGAGTGGCCATGTTTGTGTAATAGAAGCTGTCCTCAGCTGAGCTCCATGCATTATTCAGTTGTGGACCTCATCACGGTGCTTATTGCCTGGAGACCGGAGCGCGTTGATAGATGACCTCTGCTGCAGCCTGAGTCACGTTGAAGATTAACCAGCAGGGCTGAAAACAGGTCATCTCTGCTGACCCCTCAGGCTTGTGCATGTTGCTGCAGCACAGGGGCATTCTGTGACAGGGGTGACAGTCCACCCCACAGTACCACGTGTACCACGCCAGCCTTTACCGGCCGAGCAGTCCCCTCGGTTGCCGTGACAGCAAGGTAATGGGCATTGTGGGGGAATGCACATGCTGAAATGCAAGGTTGAGAGGAAGATTTTGGGAACAAGTCTGCAGGTGGAGCAGACAAGAGGTCCCATTTATGAACAGCCTAGGCCCAGTTACTCCTACTTCTGAAGTAGGAGGACTTCACATTCAAAAGAAGCAGTGACATATTTCATTTTGTCCAGAGTAGCTCAGATCTCGCAATCATGTTTCCACTTTACTCAGAGGATGAGGGAGGAGGGGCTTGGTGGTAGAAAGTGGAATTAAAAAAAAGAAGCACTATATGGCCAACTGCTCTGAAATCCCACTGTCAGCAAATCTGCCACACAGTCCAACTTAGAAGTGATTGTGCCACAGTAGGGAGCTTTTATTTATTTATTTAACTGACATTATTATAATTTCCATTATTTATGTTGCCCCATGTTCATGGTGACTTGAGGGCAAATGGGAGGGTTTTGAGAAAACGCAAAAATCTTTAGGGCCACCTATATCTCTGGTGGAATATTATACCACCAGATCTTCATCAATAGAATAAATTGTAGTAGAGTGTTATTTTCTCTTTAATCGGGCCACATTTTGCTGACACAGGACCCAATAGACATCGCCTCCTCCTTTTCAGTTATAAAACACAGCTATCTGAAACTATTGAAAGGATCATGAATGTGTTTCTCCTCTCCTTTGACACTTCATCACAGCAGAGACTTAAGCTGAAAGGCATTTTGAAAAGAAACTGGAAATCCCATTTCACTCATGTTCCAATTACTTTAATTTTAAAACAGAATTAACCAATAATCCTACAGGTCTTGTACCCTCTGAAGTAGAGTACATCTCTTTAATAATGATTATTAGGTGCTTCCAGTATTTAATTGCAAGCACTTGATCTCAGGTTCTTTTACCTAACCTCTATACACTGTGTGCTCCCAGTAATGTGACCAGATTAGCTCACACTGTTCTACAACCTAGACTTAAACAGGGGAAATTTTATTTTGTTATTAATAGTACTAAACTATGTAACAGTTTCACTAAAAGTGGGAGGTCAGCAAAATCCCCTGCCATTTCCAACGATCAAATACCATCATTTATGACCTTTTAGTGTGATGGATGTTTTTCAGTGTGCTTGGTATTTTGTATCCGATTATGCTGATAATTTTCCTTTTGACCTTGTAAAATGATTTTAGCTTTGTATTTTAAGGCTAAAAGGGTATGCCAGCAATTTGGTGTTGCACCATAAAGCTGGGGAGCTTGCATAAGACAAATAAAAAAAAAGAATAGTTAAAATCAAAGCAGAAGAGGGTGAGAGATCCTGACTTTTTAGTTGTTCGTATGAGAGAAGCTTCAAAGCTGGATCCTACAATTCCCATTATGCAATTCCGTGGAGTTTTTCATTAGACCTTCCCTGCCCCTGAATCTTTTAAATTCCATGCTTCCAGTTTGTAAATCAGGTTTTCTGTCAAATATTTGAAGTTTCAAGCTTAATTGAGCCCCACTGACGTCATCACAGTTATTTTGTCAGACTTTAGGGAGAGTCCTCTAAGGCAACAGAAGAAATCATAAAATTGGTGGAGTGCTGCATTTGTTATAGTCATGTGTGTTAAAAAATGTAGCTCAATCTGTCGCTGACTAGTCAGTCAGCCATTAACTGCAAGGAGTTAATGTTAATTTAGCCGAGGTTTTGTTAATATACCAGCAATATATTACTACCTTAGCTTGACTTTCAAATATTAAGCAGAACAACTAGCTAGAAGTGTTATCTCAAAAAAATTCCCATATCCTATTTGGCAGCAGTTGCCTGCCTCATCCAACTGTTTTATATTTATCAGTTTTAGTCTACTGAACACAAACCTCATTATGGCTCCTCAAACACAGTGACAAGGGTTTTTGCAGCCTGCCTTTTAGTAAAGTCCCAGTCGTGCATTAGCTGGTGGAGTGCTACCCTCTCGCAGCTCTTATTTTCCATAATAAAACACAGCTCAGCACATCCCCGTGCTGCATGCATACAGAGGAGCCACCCTTGTGTCAGCCTAGGTTAGTCACAACAGGAGCACCGGCATGGAAGGAATGTCTGCACAGATTTCAATAATCCCACATCATTCAATAAGATATGAAGGAGAATGGGTTGCCCCTCATTGTTTCAGTGATCTCAGCTGCTACATGCTGGGCAAGTTGCACCAGTGAAACATGAACAGTCTCTATGGTATTAACAGCATGGCACCATTTATGTCCTACATATCAACTATGCTTCCATGGTAAACATGATGAGCTACTGTTAACCTACTTCGGTGCTGCCAGGCGAACCCCAGCAGGAACACTTTTCTCTGTCTTGAACGCTCACAGGCAGAAGCACCAGAGACACTGCGACGTGTCAATCAAGCCCATCCCAACACCACCACCACCACCACCACCACCACTCACATGAAGTCTAAGATGTTTGGTATTATTCCAGCATGCTGTGGTACACACTCGGAGATGATAGCGCATATACACACAGACTTAGATGTTGTGCACATACACGCACCTGCCAGTCTTCATCCCATCACACGACTAGTCTCAGTTGTGTGGCAAGGCTTTGTTGGGGAGTTGACAGTGAAGGTCGCTTCATAAACCCGGCACGCGTCCATCTCCATCTCCCCCACTGCTTTGGGATGAAGGGAAGTGATGATCCAGGGATTTTTCGTTCCCTCCGCTCCATTGAGCTCACCGCATCACCTTGACAATGTTGCACTCTGTCATGGAGGCTACGGGGACGGCAGCGGGCACTTGGGAACGAGGAAAATGCTTTGGGAGAACTTTGTGGGATTTCGCTGCCTCCAAACTAATCCATTAACTGCCGGGCTTAGTTGTGCTTTAACTAAGAGCAGGGGACAAAGTGTTGGAAGTGGGTTGTGGTAGGCCGTGTGGTTAAGGAATACGGTACAAGGTGTTGAAGAAATAAAAGATGTATTCTTGGTTGTGTGATGGCTTCTGTATGTGTGTGTGTGCGAGTGAGAGCTTTTGAGAGGGAGCGCATGAGTAGTAAGTGTGTGTGTAATGTGCAAGCAGGCAGGACGGGAAAAATGGAACATCCCTGTCCTGCCTCGACAGCAATGCAGCATAGCTCGGGGACTGCACATCACTATGTAAATGCAAATTGCTGTGTCATGCTGATCAATCCTGTAGGCTGCTGAGACAGGGTTATGTCGGGACCAGTCTGCAGCATCTTGGCTATATCTGTCGGTCTGTCTGCCCCGTTCTGTGCTCTCCGTTTCTGTACGGCGCTATATGAGGCTTTGCTCTCTTCTTCAGCATTATTTCTCTATCAAGCTGGCTTGCCGGCCCAGCTCTTCAATTATTTTAATTTGCTTCTGTTTGACCAACAAGCACATAAAGTATTTGCAAGATAAAACTTTGTGCAAGAAGCTCAACTGAATACTGTGTCTTTCTTTGTTTGTTACAGGACCCAACTCAAATAAAAGAACCTCGTGGGACAGGAGGGAAACAGCAGGACTGTGTGGGATAAGTTGGTCAACACGGAGCTGGGTGGAGGGGAGAAGACACCAATCAAAACACAGACTTCAGAGCATGCTAGCCATGCTTTAGCACACACAGGAAAGGCTGGTTGATTGCTGGAGAAACACCCGCTGCCTTTTATTACACATTTCTGAGCCACAAACGCACGCCTTTCCATCTCATCTGTAATTTGCTGAACACCATCCCTGCCAAGATGCCGATGCCAGGGTTGGCACTGTGGCACTTGTGGTGACGGGGCACAGAGTGTGTGTGCACATCCGGCAGGCAGGCCGGTGGGTCGGTGGGTGTACAGGCACACCGAGAAGCATTTTCGGGTGGGCTCGGTTGAACCATGCGGCCCTGGGCGGGTTCATGGCGTTGGATTACCCTGGTGCTGCTGGCCTGGGGCACGCTCCTCTTCTACATCGGTGGTCACTTGGTGAGAGACAGCGAGCACCCGGAGCGGTCTAGCCGGGAGCTCTCCAAGATCCTGGCTAAGCTCGAGCGGCTCAAGCAGCAGAATGAAGACCTGCGGCGTATGGCCGAATCGCTCAGGTAACCACAAGCTAGATGCTTAGATGCGTAGTTGCTTGAATGTAAATACACTAAACATTTTATTCTTAGAATAACTGTGTTTACATGCTCACTAGTGTCCTGTTTATGTGGTTGAGCGTGTAAAACCATATCTTAGTTTCAGAAACCCGTATAAGCCCTTACCTTGCTTTGAGAAACCTGAATAAGCTAGCTGGAGTACCGTGATTGAAACCAGTATATGGCATGTGAAGACCTTATCCTGGTTTGTGATCAATGGCTGCCATGTGTGTCCCTAACTTGAGTTATGCAGTAGTAGTAGTGAGTCAGTAAAACAAGAAGATGATCATAAACAATATAATAATGAATAAAGAAAGTCTAACATAATACTGGTAATTCAGAGGATAAACTATTAGAGCTCTTGGTTTCCATTACTGGTGATTGAACAGAGAAGCCAAATCCAGCATGAGTGGAAAATGAGTCCAGGCAGCCAGAAACCAAAGTGGGTTCATCAACCACTGAGGTGACTCAGTCAGCTCAGAAATAATAGTGTGTGGTCTAGATGTTGAAGAGTGAACAGACATACAGTACCTGCAGGCAGATGTTAAAGAAACCTGGATACTGTTAAAATACGAGATACAAATGACCAGGTTTCTCCTTCCAGTGTAAACGTCATCATCCCAAATATGTTCAAAACTGGAAAAGAAAACACCATAAAACGTGATATTAGTGTTCAAGTAAACATACTTAGTGAAAGGTAAGCAGGGTATTTCTGAAACAAACCTCCCCAACAGCTACAGCTAGCTCATCACCATCTCTCTTTTCCACTAAATTCAAAGGTTCATAATATACTTATCCTTGGCTTTTGCAAATGAGTGGGAGCTTTTTCTGGACAGCTGCATGAGTGGCATAGTAAAATAGTTTTACATCTGTATCTTTTAATCTGTATTTGCATGTCAAGGCCATTTGTTACATTAAATTGTGAGTGCTTTGCCGAATGCATCAGTTCACAGATTTTGTTTTGTCATTACTGAGTCTGAGGTTTTGCACAAAACACAGTTGAGCAAACATGTAATGTACCCGTTTTGCTTGCCTGGTCACAAAACTTTTTTTAAGTAAAAAAAAAAACTATGGTGCAATGCATCATTCCCTTAGGTTTTTGCAAAGTCCAGCAATTAAGTACAGCCTCTAGCTCCCCGGTAGTCCAATCAGAGTAATTTTACAAATGTTGCAATGTGGCAATGACATTTGTTTTTTAGTTTTTGTGAAAATGTAATCAGCATCTGATTAAATCAGCATCTTCTGCGACATACAGTTAAACAAATGTTCCTGCAAAGTTTGATCAAAAGCGGATCCGTGGTGTCGGAGATGCCGTGTGTGACGGACAGACAGATGGATGGGCTCACACACCTCACCAGATTTCATTGTGTTATTTTGGCAGACAATAGCACATTGTACGAGCCCATTAACCACACAGCATCATTCGCACATTCAAGCTATGTGTAATAGAGAGACAGATGGTTCTGCTCTTATCCCCGCATGCTGACAGTGTTTCTCTTTACGCATAAACACTGGGTCTGCACATGGGTGTGTACGCCCGTGAGTGTGCATGCATGTACGGCAGCGCGTCCTGGTGTGCGCCATATTAACAGGGAACCCAAGCTTCAGATGTTGCCATTGCTGCTCCTCTGTGATATTCCGATTCACTTTGATGCAGGGCCCTCATCAGCGCACACAAACATAAAAAACTCACGCGTACACGTTGCTTCAGACAGCTGGTCCCTGATTAAATCCCTTGCTTTTGTAATTATTCAAAATTGGCTCAAAAACAAAGGTGGAATTCATGGCATAAAAAAACAAGTGCAGCTTTCAGTCGACCAGTGTCCAGATGGGTCCCCGACACACTGCACGCTTGTTGCTTGTTATTGAGTTCGGTTGTTGATCTGGGACCGAGGCCTCCACAGTTGTTTACTGGGGCAGCGCTACAGTGCCTTCTCAAGTCCCTCTAAGCTTCGGTTAAGTATCCGGCCGGCAAGCCAAAAGCAGGCAACTGGCTTGCTGAAGTTAAGCTTTATGAACTATCGACAAAGACAGGGCTTGGTTTGTCCTCTGTTCAATATTGTGTTTTTCTGTGTGTGTGTCTGTGTCTGTGTCTGTGTGTGTGTGTGTCTGTGTGTGTGCGCGCGCAGTGGTCAGATACCCAGGCCCAGGAGACAACTCCTCCACCGCCTCATCTTGTAGTGTCTCTTATCCTTACATTAGAGTCCTAATAGACGCAAAAAGGCTGTTACTAAGCTGCCCATCATTCCTGCCACAGCCCGTTCCTTCCCTGTCCACGTCCTCCCCCTGTTCCTCATTTTACTCCTTCTTCACCACCCTCCTCCTCTGCCCCATTCAACTACCAAACTGCTGACAGAGACATGGCGCCGAGCCAGACTCTACCCGGCAGGTTGTCACAGACTGACTAACTACGTAACAACTCACTAGCTCACTGATCGACTAGCTCAACACATGCCTAACCCAATCCACTGACTTAACACGTCCTGCAGATTTTGGCCTGAGAACATAAATCTCTGAATGTTGTATGAGAAGCAGAAGCAGTACTTTGCAGGCATCCTGCTGACATTAGGTAATAAAGAAGGTTTCATCCGAAGCACCTAACCTTTGCATTAGTGCATTCATTTTTTATGAGTGGCCTCAGAGAGATTCAAACCCATAAAACTGACATTATTACACTTTTGTGTTGAGTTGCTGCACAGAAGAAACCCACTGCATTGCGATTGATTTATAGTTCAGAGTAGGTTTTAACTTGGTTAGTGCCATCACACCACAGCAGCACTAGATGAATGTGTAGTGCATTATTGGGCACTGTTGTGCATTCATTAGATAACTGAGGGGATCTTGTTTACATTGTTCATTTACTTTATGATAGAGAGTGGTAGTCATGCTGAAGAAGTTTGCATGGGATATTGATTTTCTTGATCACAAATTGCAAGTTTGTGTAGCATCACTGAGAAGATGAAGATAGCCTGCTAAATTCATTCTGTACACACTACTGATCACGCTTTACCTGTTTTTTTTCATTTTTTCCTAAACTCTGCATTATTTTTAAAATGGAATAGTCGAGTGAAATTAATCAATCTATCAATCAACGCTCAGATTCAAATTAGTATCACCTGGCTGGCCTACAGATTCAGACCAGTGATTCGGTTATTCGGGCCATTCCTGAGTGATTTCAGTGACAGGCAGCGTGCCAACCTACCAATCACCCAGCAGCATTAATGAGAGGTGAGCACGAGGTCGAGTCGCTCAGTCTGTCTGGCTCCGCCCTCTCTGCAGCTGTCAGTCACCTCGGGCACGGCCCCTGCAGAGACAATGACACACGCCAGCCTGATGGTGTGACATCGAGGGAGCGAGGGGTGAGAGTGACAGCTGGGCTGAGCGATGAGGACCTGATCGATCCCCTAGGCATGCCAACAGAGGGGTGGAGGGAGGGAGGGGGGCGATGCAGAGGAGGCAAAGGAGGAGGGGAGCGTGATGGATGGCATGGGGACTGCACTAAGTAAAGAGCAGAAAGGAGGAAATGAAAATGAGGTCTGAGGGGATGAGAAGAGTTGTGGAGATCGCAGTCATTGCACTAAAATCTTGTCTACACGTAGTACTTTTTGCATATGTCTCATTCGGGTTCCTATTTTTCAAGCAAACTAAAAATGTAGTTTTGTGTGGTGAGGCTGTTCAGTTATGTATAGGGAGACAGTGAGAGGACTCAGTTATCCTGTAAGGTTTTATCCCAGTGCGGTCCCACCAAACAGATGCTGCTGCTGCTTCCAGACCTGAACTCCCATCGACCTGGCCATCGCTCAGGCCCGGCCTGGGAAAAAGTCCACTACCACACACACTAGCCCCATTGTGGGAGCTGTCTGTGGTCAGGACATCTCTGTCAAGTAGGGCTCAGAGTGGAGCTGGCTCACTCTGGATGTACTGAGACCATGAAGCATGCGAAGCAAAATTGCACCATTCAGAATCAGTTTACTTGGAATTATACTGTTTGAGTCAGAGGACATAATATGAATAAAGCAAAAGAAGGAGATGCAGAGACAAGATCAACTGATTTCACACAATGCATACACCTCTAATGTAGTTCATATGCAATACAGTATAATGCAGTCATGTGGGGATAGCATTGTTCCTGTCATTAGCTCACCAAACAGGCCTTTCAAAACAATTCTAAACAGTGGTCGGGGGTTTTCATGGTTATACCAGACTTTTCCGTCCATTTGTAGCATTAACATGCTTTTTCCCACTGGTACATTCCTGTGGTTTATTAGGTTGACTTATTGGAGTCAAGTGGTTTGGTGTAACACATAGTGAGTTCCCAGGAAAGGCTGGAGCATGTCAGTCGGGTATTTGACACACCCATTCCACACATGTACATACTGCATATACGCAAGCAGAGTATAGGAATATTGGATCAAAGTTCTTTCTTAACGTAAAGGGAAATTACCTTCATGTAGCCTGCTTTCATCTACACCTCCCAGAACACTTTACATCCCCATCCATATGTATGGCTTCTCAGGTCAGCACATGGATTTTCTTTTGAAGTCAACCATAGTATATTAAATCTTACCTCGGAAATATGTATGCACCGCAGTGCCACCCAGGCCCCCACCGTTCAAACTGCTCCGCCTTACTCTGATCACCCTGTGAACTCCATGGTTACCGGGTGCAGGGACAGGAGCCGATGGAGCGACAGCTGGGGCAGCATTTCAGAGGAAACTGGGATGCATGCTGAATCTCACCTGCTTTACGGCTCAGTGCTTAGTGCCGGTGGGGCTCATCGCCCCCTGCTTTCATAGCTTGTCTTTCACTCCGCAGTATTCCCCCCCACCGTACCTTTCCGCCCCGCCTCCCCCGAGTCATAGTTTTTCTCATCTGTTACCTCTCCTGTATCGTTTGATTAAGACGCTGTTGAATCCAGCTGCCTCGTCTAGGCTCCGTTTCAGGTCCTCTAGAGATATCGTCAGGGATCATTTGTGTATTTGTGTATGGTGTTTGCCTCCTTCCTGTGTGTGTGTGTCTGTGGGTTTTGATACCGCAGAGTGTTTGGTAATATTTTATATCTACATATCTTGGTTGGGGATGCTTGTGTTCTGCCTGCACCAGCATTGTGTCTCAGCAGTTTATGTCTCTTTGGAGTGTGTTAGCTAACCTCTGTACCACGTCACTACTCATTAGTCTGTGCTGGTCTGGCCTATTTCTTCCGCCTTGTTCAAGGAGATATGTTGCTTTATGTTACAGTTTTAGCAGCACTTAAACCTCCTGGGAAATGATGTCACTTAGGAAATAATCCTACTTCCTGTACAATGGTGTAACTAGCAGGTTAGGGTGTGGCCTGTTGAATATTGTTTGAACAGACTTATCTGTGAGAATAGATAGTAGAGATGATACTTGGAAAGGAAATACACCTGGGTCTTATTTCAAAATATCTGTCAAGCAGGTGAAATGGTCACGACACATAGAAAGGAAGCGTGAATTTAAGACATAAATACCCAAGATGCCACAAAGGTATGAAAAGGTTTATCTTTGTCCATCACACGGTTACATAATGTAGGAGTTAACATTTCCTCCCTTTCCTCCTCAGTTATTTCCATGGCTTTGAAGCACAATGCTCAGTTAGTGCTCAGTGAAGTGGGAGGCCAGGGCTTCTCAGGGGCTGAGCCTTCAACAGCGAGTTGTGCAGCTAGAAGGGCTGTTGCAACTTTAAAAGTCTCATCTTTATGCCTGCCAGCAACTGATGTTCCTCACTCAGCGAGCAAATTGCGTTTGCATGCCTTGATGACTCATTAACATGGCCTTTGCAGCACTTCACCAATGCCCCTGTGCATTCGAACATATTCCATTTTTAATAGTTTTATGTAGAGGAATTGATTTGGTATAATGTCAGTAGCAGTTCTTTTTTTCTCCTTGGCTGATTTCAGCATGTCAGACTGCTCATTTGTGTTTTCATTACATGCATGCAGCGGTTATTCATAGTTCCTTAACACAGAGCTGGGAACCTTATATTTATATTGTATTCATCAGAGAGCCATAATTGACAAAACACTTAAAACATACAGTTTTAACACGGATCACTTTACATATATACACTTGAAAATAGATTATAACATCAATGTGGAATATATTAAATGGACTGAAAGGCTGCCTAAACATAATTTCAACTATAATGAGCAATTAGGCTTTGCAAGATTATCAACCGTACATTTTCTAAGCCTTTTAAGTTTGAGGCTTCTGAGCACAGATCTCAGTGCTACAGAAACCATATAGCTGAGTTGTGCCTAAATGGCAAAAAACATGTATGGGAATTAAAAGTTGTTTGCGAGCTATGAACATTTTTTGTTTAATAATAGATCTTTTTAATCAAACTTCACTCATAGAACAAACAGACCACCATGACCACTGCAGCAGCAGTCAGTATACAGTAATGATGAAAGGGGATTTTCTGTGCGGTTACAGATAAATGGTCAAAGTACAGTAACAAATTATATTAAATCTATTTACTGTGCTCGAATAGCTTTGATTTGATCCTAGTTTTAATTGGGAAGTTAATTTTATCTGGGTGTGTTTTGACTGGATATCTTTCCCTTCAGTAAATTAAATTGTATCCACTATAGAGTTAAAATGTTGACCTATTAAATTACAGCAGGCAGGCATCTTTAGAGCCATCAAACACAGTCAAAGGATAATAGTAATTTGTTCTTTTTTGTATAGTTTGTATAGCTCACAACGAAATGAAATGTAGCTGTCACTTGTGTCCATAATTTGACATTGCGTATATAGACTAGTCATTGGATAAAATGTTTGGACTTATTGTTCAGAAGTAGATAGGTTAGATAAGGGTAGATAGGCATGGGAAATTATCCAGTACTTCTGGAGCTTAAAATAAATAAACTGGGACAGGGCTCCAAGAGGCTCCACTGTGGTGTCTCAGCAAATGAAATAGAAATTTCGCTGGTGAACACTAAAAGATGCCAGCCATCACAGCTCAGTTTTCCCTGCAACTTTTAAGTCTGGAAACATTCTCCTAATAAGAATCGAGTCACCCCAGTAAAATACAGTACATATCAGACTAAGCAACGGATGCAGGGATGATAAACATTCTCGCTGCTTCTCCAAACTCCTGCACATCGTTAATGACTATTAAACTTAAGTGCTGTCGACAGATTTATGGTTGATAGTGTAAGAGGAATTTCACAATATTTGCGAGAACAGCCACCATATTTTTCCAGTTTGAAAATTGTGAGTAAAGATTAATTGCGGCCCAAGCGAGTGGTGTGTGTGAATCCAGTCAGGTGTAGGAATGGTTGTTGTTGAAGTCTTAAGTGAAGGAGAAAACTGTCAATCATTTATTGTATAGACTCTTTCAAAAAAGTGTCTGTCTCAAGCTAATTCATTCATGGTGTTGCCAAAGCAAAAGTTTGAAGTCTTTTTTTTTTTTTTTTTTTTACAGCTGATCCAATCGGTTTCATATCATTTTTGATTTAATATAATGTTTTTTTGGGGGGTTATTTAGACTAAATGATCAAAGGCTTATTTTATACTTAATTGAGTGGTCAAAAAATAATTGACAGCTTTTTTGATAATGAAAGTAATTATTACTTGCATGACTACACTTGCATTGCATTTTTCCAGAATTATTGTATATCTGCAAAGTAGGACATTTTTGCACTCTCTTTCTCCTATCGATGTGCACATGCTTCCATGCTCACCCAATACGTCCTCTCCTTGTGTCTTTCTCCCCCCCACCCAGGATACCAGAGGGTCAGGCAGAAGCTGGGTCCCTGGCTGCAGGGCGACTGCGCTCCCTGGAGGACCAGTTAACCAGAGCCAAACAGAAGATCCACAGCTTCCAGAAACTCACTGGAGATGGTAAGCAGGGCTGGGCTATCTGAAAGGTCGCTGGGAAGGATTTGGCACAGAGCTCGGAAATATGAAAGGATTGATTTTGAAGGTGCAGGGGTTGACTATATAAGGTATAAAAACCAGTCAAAGGCTCTTGTGAGCTTTCGCCTGCAGCGAGAATCTCAGTCTAGTCCAGTGTTAAACCTGCTGTAACTCAGCAGTGATGATGGCAGAGCCACACTGTCAGATGGGCAGGGTTATGTGTGTATTTGCCACTCTAAGCAGTGGTCAGAGGGGCAGGAAAGCTGTCAGGTGAGAGGAGAAATGTGTGAATGAAGTGGAAGCAGTGTGAATGCCCCAATGGTAGAATGGGAGAGAGAGAGAGAGGAGAGAAAAGAGACAGACAGAGAGAAAATAAAGAAGGACATGTGAGCGTTGAGGGCAGCACGGGGTCAGCCTCTCCATCTTGCCGCAGGGGAAGAAAAAGCTAAAAATACCCTAAAGCTTTTTTCCACCACGGGAGGGACTGAGAAGAGAGAGTGCAAGATAGGAAGGTAAAAAAGCTTTTCCCTCTTCACCACCATCTTCTTCTCCTCCTTGAGGCTGTCCTTCCCTTTTCTCGATTTTCTTTTTTTTTGTTTGTTTCTCTCTGCAGAAACCAGAGCAGGCAGCTGTGTTATCCATGTGGGTTACTCCACATTGTTTAGCTCGGGTGGGGTATAGAGTTCCTTCCTGTTGTTAGAACTGTGGGAGAAAACACACGATAGAGAGCCATGAGGCACAAAAACAGTGATGCAGTGCTCCTTAATGAGGTCAAAGCAACACTCAGGGACAAAATATGAAAGAGAAAGAATTGAATAGTTATTTTCCGAAACCTTGTTTTGTGCCATTAGCCTGTATGGGCTCACATAATCTAATGCTCAAACATTCCTAAAGACCTCTTCATTTCCTATAGTTTTTCTCCCAGGTGTATTCCCATGCAGGTACTTTGAAGTTGACGTCATCAAATCATTGTTTTATATCATACCCGTGCCTCAAATTTCATGCCAGCTGAGTATCTTTGTTATGAGATGTTCTCTTTTACTCCCCCTGCAGGCCCAGGGCCTACTCAGGAGGAGCTGCGGAGGAGGGTGGAGAACGGCGTTAAGGAGTTCTGGTACTTTGTCCGCAGCGAGGTGAAGAAACTGGCCATTGTTGAGCCCAGCGAGAGGCAGAAGTACGCCGACACGCTCTTGCAAGACTTGGGACACCAGGAAAGGTAGGCATATAGTCGCTTAAACACATGGGAAATAGTCAAAATGATTTTAAGGCAACCATTAAGTCCATGGCAAAGGTGACACTGACATCAATAAAAATCAGATGTTGTTGTTGTCTAAGGGAACAACACAGTCACTTCCAGAAAGAAGGTTGAAGCAGACCTCACTAGTGGGGCATTCATGTGTGGCGTCATCCCTGTTACATGATAGATAATGATAGTGATAGTGAGTGTGATTGTGTGTTTGTGTGCCGATGTGTTTTTTCTTTAACCTAACTTGCAGAACAAAATTTGAGACAACCATAGACTGTATAATTATAAAGGACGTAGTCTCCATGACATCACCTATAGGTCTCTGAAGAGCCGTTGTGAAAAGTGTTGTCCTGACTCCGGCGGCTCACGGCCGATCCAAAAATGGGGTTGAGCTGACGGGGGCCGTTTGAAGCCTGGTTACTGAGAACAGCTGCCTCTGATGGCACCCACCTGTCACTCAAAGCGACCATACCCTTAATTGTGCATAACTTTAAGCCTTAATATAATTTAAATGGATGAGTTAGATAAAAATTCACCCCACGTACAGATGAACGGGGAAATTAACTATAGAGACCAAAATAGTTTTTAGTACCAAGCTGTAAAAATGTTTAGTTCATCTTTAAAGCTCGGTAGTTAAATGGAGGGTTTATGGAGAATGACTCACTTCTGTAGCCAACCTCAAGTGGCTGATAAAGGAACTGCAGTTTTTTTTTGTGATGACTTCATTTGCACTGAGGTTGCTGCTTGGAGACAACTCATTAAAAGGGGGTCAACTATGGAAAATACTCAGCATCACTGACATAATAGATCCTAGCAAGTACAGGGACATTCATTCCTTAAGGATGTACTTCCTATTAGTAAATATGAACCGTTCTACCTGATATTACTGAGCAATCAGCTGGTAGGGGTATAGGCCTGGATATTGAAGCTCAATACTTTATTGGTTTTGACCTACATGTGTTTGTAGCGCAGATTATCCAACTGTCAGGTACCAAAAGTTGGCTTTTTTATTTATTATTATTATAAGACAGTTGCCAATTTTATTTTTGTGTAAAAACAAATTGTAACATTAAATAACCTTGGCATTTGTGAAATGACACAAGTATTTATCAAAGGTATTGATGATGAAGTAAAACTGAAAGCTTAACACAGCAAACTTGCCTGTGAAATGTTTGTGTCAGATCCTCAACAGAATACACAGAAATGACAAAGATCATTTAAGTAACTTTTAAAGCAGAAAGTCTGAGCATTCTCTGTTTCTTCCTTCTCAAATTCAGAATTCTTGTCATCTTAAAATCAATAGAGTTATATAAACTAAATATCCAACAGATTACTTGATAAAGAAAATCAGCAGCAGCAGTAGAAGGTGGATAGATTCGTAGTGCTGTCATGTTGAAGAAATGGTTCAGAATCCTGGTAGTAAGTGTGTGTGTGTGTGTGTGTGTGTGTGTGTGTGTGTGTGTGTGTGTGTGTGTGTGTGTGTGTGTGTGTGTGTGTGTGTGTGTTTAATCTATCCCCATTTCTTCTTTGTAGATACTTCAGTGTTGATTAGGGACTCACAGGCTGCTGTTTACCAGCATCTGATGATGTCAAAAGTTGAAACTTTGATATTTGCAGGAGAACTTGAAAGCGGCACTTGCAGTAGTTACAGAGAAACAAAGGGCAAAGATCACGCTCTCCCTGTCATCTCGATGGCCGGCTTCCACACAGCTGAATGAAGAAAGTCCTGGTGTCACTTAGCCAAGTGGTTCATTGTAATCCTGCTGAAGTGGCTTACAGGGCCCATTGTCTTAGTCATTCCTGCCTAAGCGGCTTTCCAAAGACTGATTCCTCACCCCTTACACACAGCCATGCACCCACGCACACACATACACAAATAGTGACAGACTCACACTTGCATTCACTTCCCGTCTAAGCCCCCCAGCTTTCTTTGTATGTGCTGCAGGCTGGGAGAGCCAGCACAGATAGGGGCAGAGGTGGAAGGAGCAATGAAATGTTTGACTCGAATAAATGCACTGCTCCCTCATTTAAATTCTGCTCAGGAAGTGAGTAAAGTCCTTGTCTCGAAACATTTCCCAAGTTAAATAAAAATGTAGCACATTAGAAAAAGTATGCAATTACTTACCTGCTCTCCCAATGAAAATGATCACTGCAGAATGTAAAACTTTCAATTTCACAAAGTTTTATAGACGCCTGGAATGAAAGTGTGAAAGTTCATAGAGGTCTGCCAGGAAGCAGTTCAAAGTTCAAAACAGGAAATGAAGAAAATTAACACCTCTGAATCTACAAATAGTGTGTCACTTTGTATCAAAAACTCCATCTGCTGGTGAGAATATGTTATATGATGATATGATATGACTGAAAGCTCTAGAAGAGCTAATAAATGGACCTTGCAGGGTTCCCATGTGTCTTGGAAAACCTGGAAATTGATAAATATGACCAAATAACTTGGAAACAATCTATGTTATCCTGGAAAATTTGAATAGTATTTTAGGTGCACGTTTATATTGAAACTCGACTGTTGGTAGGTCAAGCTGACACAACAGTGCGGATTTACCAGATGCAAAGCGGAACAGACTTGCAGCGATGTTTTGAGTGTTGAGTCTGTTTTTCCAGAGCTGATGATCCTATCTACATGCATACAACCTGCTCAGAATGTTAGGCAGCCCCATACACAACAAACTGTGATGCGCTGTGTGTTCTGACACCTTTCTATAAGAACCAGCATTCACTTTTTCAGCTACAGTAGCTCGGACCACACGGGTCAGCCTTTGCTTAGCCTTGGCCACCCATGACCCTGTCTCCGGTTCACCGCTTTTCCTTCCTTGGACCACTTTTGATAGGTACTGACCACTGTAGACCGGGAACACCCCACAAGAGCTGCAGTTTTGGAGATTCTCTGACCCAGTCAGTTTCTAATTGGGTCACATCAGTTCACAGAACGGCATGTCATAGGACTGTAGGCCGGTGAATTTGTACCTTTTTTCTGTCCTCCCTTTTGCCCATCCTCTGTTTTACCTGACCTGGTGATATTCAGGCTGTAATGTAAACCTGGTACCTTGTAATTGCTCTCCCATTGGTGCAGCATCAGTACTCAGAAAAGCTGTGCTCTGCTGCCAAGCCCAACGACTGCAGCCTCTATGTCTGCAGTTTGAGCCAATCAGAAGCACTGGGGAAGCCCACAAGCTCCACATATGCCTAAGACCACACATACTTATATACACACAAAAGCATACACACCCACCAATACATAGGGACTGCTGGACTTCGTGGTTGTGTGGTCTTCCCCTGCCTTGCTGCCAAATCCCTCAGGGCTTGTCTGTTGATTCCTTCTTGTTAAGTTTTGTGGCCAGCCAGGTTTGCTTTTGCTTCCCGCAGAGGGTCGGTGATTGCTCCCCTGTGCTCCTCTGGAAGAGAATTTGACATCCGTTCACACATTGTGGTTCCAGCTTCAAAATGGAACAATGAGTAATGATACTGTCTTAGTCACAGAGAAAGGCACTATTCACCCTGCCGCACTGTTGAAATGGGACATGGTACGTTTATCTGCTTTGTGTGTGTGTGTGTGTGTGTGTCTGTGTCTGTGTCTGTGCATGCACTGCTGAATATGTGCATAAGAACTTTCAGTCACACGGGATGTGACTGATTTGGGTCAAAGAAGTGAGTAATAAATTAAGCTTGCATAAGTGTGTGTGTGTGTGTGTCTGTGTGTGTGTCTGTGTGTGTGTCTGTGTGTGTGTCTGTGTGTGAGTGTGTTAGTGTGTGATGTGTTTGTATGTGCCCTTAGTTGCATATATCAGTGCTCTTGGGCATATTTTAAGTGGATGGTCACGATTTTTGGCAGCATGTGACATGGTAACAAATTTTCTGTCAGAGGCTTGCAGATGGCAGGCTTAATCCAAAAAAGAGCTAAACAACCAGCAAGATGCTGTTGTCGTTAGACAGGGTGACAACAACACTTTTTCTATAAATACCCTGAAAGCATGTTGAACCCTGGTAGTGTTTAACACACAGTATACTCTTAACATATGCTGTCATGTGCATGTTCTTATCCAAATAACAAATAACATGTTTACTATAATGTAGCTATACGTTTTGTTGAGGAAAAATCTTAGTTAAAGTTCATTTATTCTATGTGAAGCTACGAAACCTGTCTGGATAAAAAAATAATGTCACAGACAAGATATGCAAGTATGTAATGCAAGATATATAAAATATGCACGTTTGCCTAGTCACTATTATGTTGACATAACTTGTCTGCATATTCAAGTGGCCGCCAGCGGCTCTTAAAGCCCCTTTCCAGAGGCTCCCTGTGGATTTGACAAAAATATGGAAATTTATTTAACATTTTTATTTACCATTGTTGTAGGCCTAAAGTGATTCTTACATTTTTAAAATTTTAAAAATAGTCTTTCTAGCTAGGCTAGCTATGGATTCCAAATCCAAAAACAGAGAAGTCTCGGTGGAAATTAGATAATTTAATAGTGCGTGAAAAGATTTGTTTGCTTTCACCACCAACGCTGCTGGCTTGCTGGTCCTTTATCTCTGCTTATCAAATTCACACTCTTCATCTCACATCAAAAAACACATTTTCCTATTGTTATGGTTATGATGCACAGTTCACTCCAATCCACTTTTGGATCCATATTGACACGCATACCCGAGACCTGCGACAATGCAACGTTACCCTACCCTTACCCAATCAGAGTGAGAATAATTTGGACCCAGCCCCACTCGGGTTCAAGGAACTGAGTGGATGTGTAAAGAACTTTTTACTTAATTCTTGCCACTCATTATAATTGGCTACTTTGGGAATAAAGCGCAAGGCGTGATAGAGTTGTTGATGTGTTAGTTAAGGACATAGGGTCACATGTTTCATCCAAGTATTCCCCGATATGTGATCTACAGTTGGATATTATCATTGTTAATGAGAGGAAAGAAAGTGTCTGTCCTGAACATGGGGTGTTATGTTTAATTGCAGTGTGTAATAAAGGTCCTTTGCCGAGAGAGATGAAGTTTTGCTGTTTGAATTATGAAGGCCACATCTGGAGAGTATGCTGCTATTTGTATATTGTATTACAAACATTAAAAAACACACAAGTGCCCAACGGAGTTTGTCGGAATCACTGTCTCTCTTCAGCTCGTTACTTAAATAATTAATGTTTTGAACTATGTGTCTACAGGTCCATCATGACAGATTTGTACTACCTCAGCCAGGCGGACGGAGTGGGCGAGTGGAGAATGAAGGAAGCTAAAGACCTGTCGGATCTCGTCCAGAACAGAATCACCTACCTACAGGTATCTACAGATACACCTGCTGCTTAGCCAACTGGCCTTGTACTTTCTCTTACACACACAAACGGAGTCATACACACACCCACATGCAGACGCGGTAAGCATTTATTCGAATGTTTCTCTCACACATGCGAACCCACATATGCGTTTTTTAGGACATCTTTCACACTTGCTTGTCTCATTTGCACCATCCATAACTGTCAGCATCAGTTTCCACGGGGAGCAGGTGAGGTGTGTGATAGCAGCCAGTTTCAGCAGTCGGATCTGACAAGCAGGATTCTTGTTTCTTGTCAGCGGTTTAGTGACACACGCGCGCACACATGCACACTTGCAAAATGACAGATCGACAGACGCATATGCAGAAATGCAAAAATGTCTACGTGGTACAAAGACAGACACAAACACACATATTTACTCAGGCTTAGATAGATGCACATATGCTTACAGCTCCACATACACAACCTGAGACCAATGACACATCCACTCACCCCCAGCCGCCCAACTCCCCTTTCCTAGTTCTGGTGCTGCTGGGTTCTCGGGTGGGGCGGTGCACCGCGGCACCGGGCCCTGCAGCATTAATGAGCCGGTGTGTTTGATGAAGAGGACCCAGTCAGTCTGGCTGGGCGGAGACAGCACCACTAACAGCTGCTGTCACCACCGCTGAGGGATCACACCGCTCCACCAGCTGCCATCACTAATTCATCACACACACACACACACACACACACACACACCGAGTCGTGCGCAGATGGATTCACCCACACCTACACAAGCAATTGGTGCATACGCACACATGCCCCACCATAAGATTGATGCAAAGAGATGCTCTGTGTGTGAGTGTGTTGCTATCTCTCTCACACACACACTCACTCACACATCTATATGTACACACACAGACAGACTCCTCCCTCGTATCCTGCTGTCTCTGCCACCCGCACCAGCCTCTCCCTTCGTTCCTGGTTTAACTAACTCCATCTCTGCGTCTGTTCCATCTGTGCACTCACAACATTCACTGAACGTGGCTGGCTTCTTCAGATGGATTTCTGTTGGACATGCTTTAATCTATTTTTGCACCATAATCCTTTTATATAGTGGTATCAATTAGTAGTAAACAAGATCATGTTTTTGGTGTTTGGTGGCATTTTTGCACTGCATCTCCAGAGATCAAGTGTGTCCAGTACCTTAAAGTTATTATTCTTAAAGGAGCTATAAGTAGTGTTTTTATATTAACAATAGAGCACATGACTACATGTATGTGAAAGACATCCCTCATTGTTATGAACCCATAAAGATGCATGCATCCTTTTCTGCCCATGGGTCCATAATTTGAATCCAGCGGCGGGAAAGGTAAACAATTCACAAATACATTTTCTGTACAAAGAGGCATTTACAGAATGCAAAACATTAGACCTGCAGCGGGCAAAACCTCTGTAAACCTATGCAAAACCCTCTGCCTCTCTGTCTGCTGCCTCGTTATCACTCTGCTAAGACTCCCACAAGAAACCCACAAGTTTGAACAGCAGCAGACGGGGTCGGCCTCCACGCCACATGGTTCGTGCCACACACTGATCTAATACATACATTATGTGCTCGGATGCCGAGCTCTGTCGAAAGAAAAAAAAAAGCCCTGCCAAAAGGATCGCCCTCTCTCTGAAATGACCTATGATTGGGTCAGGCCACAGGCTAGATTTTCTAAAGCCTTAAAACAGAGCCAAGAGGAGGTGCAGAAGTCTAGTTTTCCCTCAGACCACTTGAATTACAATGTGATGAAAGGTTATTGTGTAAGTTTATCCCAATCACATTGCCAACCCCAGCTTTATATGGCTGTTGCTGAGAAATATTGCTAGCAGTAAATAGTAAATTGCTTGGATTTTCTGACAATAATATTTGAGTTTTCTCTAGATGAAGCTTAGTAACAGTTCAGTCATTGTGGATGGACAACTCAGTCCCTCTAAGTGACGCACTGTTGCTTCTTCACATGAAAGGTGTCATAATTTATGCACTACAGGTGGTTTTCCTCTAATGGAATCCATGAGGAAAATGCAAAAAACTTCAATAATCATTCTGCAACTGCCTCTATGTTTTACACTCAAAAAGTGCACCGTTTAAACAGGCACTTAACCTACAGTACAGAGCGGTACTCAGAGGCTGCCTTTGTGCACGCATCTGCCGTCATTATCTTTGAACCAAGTCTCTCAGCGCTTAGGAGTCATTCCAGCCTCATCATTATCAACCCTGGATCCAATGGTGGACTCCATGCCACAGGGTTTGTGCCACACATTGATCACATGCAGACATTGTGTACTCAGATGCTGAGCTCTGTCGAAAGAAAAGCCTTACGCGTGTTCTTTGTCAGGACGCCACTGTAGATTATTAGTACAGTAAGTTAGCTTACACCTATGGGGCTAGTAGTGCAGTGGCAGCCTGTAACTCCGAGGAAATACCTGTGTGGCTTGCTCTGTCAGCTCGATGGCTGCTGTACTCTGTTCATATTATTGAACAGCAGTGGTGGTAATCAGTTTTCAGCACCTAAAGGGGCCCCTCCTCTCCTCTCCTCTCCTCTCCTCTCCTCTCCTCTCCTCTCCTCTCCTGTCCTTTTGTTTTTTTTGTCTTATTTCCTCTCCTTATGCCCCTCTTTTCTCTTGCCTCCTGTCCTCTTTCTCATTACATCTCCTCTTATTTATTTTTTTCATCCTTTCTTCTCTTTTCCTCTTCGTTTTCCTCTCCTTTCCTCCTCCTCCCTCTCTTCCTCTTCCTCTCCTGCTAGTGTGTGATAGGCAGCGTTAGCCGGTGGGTGCCGTGCGGCCTGATTACTGTGAACCATCCACAGCTGCAGCAGCCTAATGAGGAAAACACTCCCATCAGCCGGTAATTGCTGTTTAGGAAGCTGGTTGGCACGAGCGTTGCGGAGTCGCTCAGACCGGCTGCCGAGCGAATCACAAACGGCCCGGCAACTCATCGACAACACAGCATGTGTCACTCTGTTGGTTTCCACTTTTTTTTCTTTTTTTATGCTGAAAAGAGAAATCCTTGTCTCTTCCCCCAGTGCCTCTCATTTGGTATTCTTCCCCTCAGACTTTGTATGATATTGAAGCTAATTTATGAGATTGGGGGCGGGGGGGTATCAGAGAGAAAGGAGAAGGAGGAAAGATAGAGTGGTAGAAAACAGGAGAGAGTGATGGGAAAATGAAACGAAAGCAGAAAAGGGGGCAGTGAAAAGTGAAGTAATGAGAGAATACAAGAACAACAAAAATGATTAAGGAGGAAAAGGTATTAAAGGATAAACTATATTTTTCTATATTTTTCATTATCAGCAAATCCAAGAAAACAACAAACCCAACTATTTAATGCATCTCTCAATACTTTCGGATTCCTTTTTGTCATTGGCACTCAGCCCCAAGCCAACTGGTTCCTACTGAAAATATATGTAGTTTAATTCAAAAGGCGCAGTCTTTTCCTAAAACAGCTGTGCACTGTAAAACAGGAATGAGATGCATTTGCTGTGGACTGTATTCAAATACACATTAATACATATTCACAAGTATTTACAGCAACAGCACGGTGTATGTGGGTTGCTCTCAAAATGAACTACGGTGCTCATGTTCATAGTAATAAAGACACGTCACCCAGTATAACGGTGGGACTCATCTACGCATTTAATAGTGTTTCAACAATGGTGAAAAGAAGCTATATTAAGCTTTGACTACACAGATGCCACAAACTATAGAATAGTGCCAGTTTTATCCTTTAACAAAAAGAAGGAAAGAGGCAGAAAAAGATAGTCAAAGAGGAATTTGCAAGGTTATCACAGAGAGAGACGAGAATAAGAAAGTGGCTGGTAAAGAGAAAAGGGCAAACTGAGAAATAAAGTGAACAGGTGTAAAATTAGAGCAAAGTATGAGACGGACAGGCAAAGGGAACAAAGAAAACAATATCAGCCATGTGTTATTACAAGTCAGAGAGCAGGGCTTTGAGAGATACAAGACGAAGGTCAAGCAATAAAAGATGTCGAAACGTTCCTTCCTCTCCTCCTCCTAGAACCCCCCAGACTGCAGTAAGGCGAGAAAGCTGGTGTGTAACATCAATAAGGGCTGTGGCTATGGCTGCCAGCTCCACCATGTCGTCTACTGCTTCATGATCGCTTATGGCACCCAGCGCACGCTCATCCTGGAGTCTCACAACTGGCGCTACGCCCCCGGCGGCTGGGAGACCGTCTTCCTGCCTGTCAGTAACACCTGCACCGACCGCTCTGGGGCCACCACTGGACACTGGTCAGGTAGGTACACACACACACACACACACACACACACACACATATACACACACACACACATACGATCATGAGCTACACACAATCATAGCCTCAGTGCTGCCTGCTACGATTTTGATTGGTTGCTTAATAATCGAACAACCCCTTGCTTTTTATTTTGACTGTCCCAGCTAAAAGAAAGGGTCTGCCAGACCCCTCTTTTGTGCTGCCACAGCGAAAACAAAGTGTGAATTCCCTGGCTAAGCAGGGCTATGCAATTCCTGTTAAAGCACTTTGGCAGCCAATGTAGCAGCAGCAGATTATTGTTCAAAGGTTTCGTTGCCAAGAAATCCTGTGACTTGATTTCAGTAAACAATCCGCTACTGTGACCTGTAGTGAGTTTCTTCTTGTAGTGTCTGATGGAGACAGAGATTGTAGGGCATCATTTTTGCAGTGTTTTCCATTATTGGTTAACTCCTGAGGTCCTTGCACAGCTTTGGTTCACCATGTCCAGTAAACTGAGACTATCTTTTATCATGGACTGTCCACGACAACAGATATTAATTTCAGCCATTACAGAAAATGCTTCTTAACTGAAGAAAACTGCATCCCCGGGTTGTTGCATAAACTGGCTAAAGGGTTTTATATTTTCACACTGAAGGCTTGTCTTACATTTTTATACACTAAACATTTCCCTGACGAAAATCCACTTTGACATTAATATTTAATCTTGTGTTGAATGTGAATGTTGTCCTTTTCTTAAAACATGTAAGTGAAAATCTAATTGAACTGACCCCCCCGAGCATAGTCCACTACTATACTCTTGTGTATGAAAGACATTTTAAATATCCACCAGTGGAGGCCTCAAGGAGTGTAAACATCTATACAAGGTCTCGGCATGTAATTAGCCCTCAAACTAAACTTCCTCGTACATATTTCATGTTCTCACCAGTACCTTTAGCAGCTTGAGGCTGCTGTCATTTTTAGCCACTATTGGGAAGGTTAGAGGCAGGGTCCATTGACCATTAGGGAAACAGGCTCGTGGGACGGGAAAGGAGCCGTAGCTACTATAGTGTAATAGGGGGAGTAACAATTAAAAATGGTCAGGTTTCTGGAACCAGGCTAGGATCCAGGGGACCGATAGGGTTCCCTCTATGTGACTGAGTTGGCTCTCCTTGGCCAACCAGGAGAGTGTCTGGGTGAGGTCCACCAGGAGAGAGAAGGACTTCAGAGTTCTACTGGTCGGTTTCATTACTACCAGCAACCCAATAGGAGCAAAATACCTGCAGAACTAATCACATTCCCATCAGTCTCAGCTGTACTTTTTGTTAAGTAATAATTCGTAAAATTGTTGTCATGATAACACACTAAGCTAAGAGGTGGTGAACATGGTAAGCACTATACCTGAAAATGTCAGTATGTTAGCATTTCCATTTTGAACATGTTAGCATGCTGATGATAGCATTTAGCTCAAAGCACGTGTGTGTTATTAGAATTCTGAGCCAGTCATGGACTGCCCATAATGAACACTATGTTTAAGCATGAGGTAGTTCATATGTATACCTGGTACCAGAATACCTTAGACTGAAGATCGATGTGCTTGTCTGTGGGAAATGGATCTCCCTGCTAATGCAAAGGAAGTAGATTCATTATGAATGAGATTGGCATGAATGGAAATTGAGATTTTTAATATGATTAATGAATAGTCCTACAGTGTAAGTGTGTTTGCCTATGCTAAGCTGACAAAACCAAAGCATTTGTAAATGAAGATAAGTGATGATTTGCAGGTTTTACAACGAGACTGTGAGACTGTGCCCCCCCCCTCTCTCCCTTGCTATCAATTTCTTTTTCGTTGCCTTCTTGTTCTCATCACTGCTCTTCATTTTCCTGCTATCGCTTCATTTGACTTGTGCTCTCCTGGGCTCTCCCTTCTTATCTCCTGCTCTCCCAGCGCCTTCCTTCTCTTATTCTCCTGCCTTTCATGTGTCCTTTTCCACTATCTAATGTCTGTCTCTGGTGTCTGTCTCAGAAACAGCCTCCTATAGTTCCATATATGCCATCTGGCTGCTCACAGCCAACAGTCAGCTCGCTACAAACGCCACTCCACTCCACAGGCCTTTTAGCATTCGGAATTCTAGTCTTAATAAAGTTTTTGCAATTTGCAGAAGCAGTATTTTCTATTGATCAGTCTACTAACTAGCTAGGCGTAGCTAATGTAAGCCTGTTGGGTACTTGGTCATGCCTGTTTAGTTAACAGTGCAGGCAAGAACGTTCCTTGGGGCACTAGACCACAAAGGGATGCTAAATCCTGGGATTAATAATTACATATACATTGAATATCTCATTAATTAGGTAGAATATTGGCCCTCGCCAGTACAATTACACCATTCTAATGTAGTGAATACTGATCTCTTGAAAACGTGCAATGGTGCTAATACAAAGCCTAAATTTGCAAGTGGCCTTTTATTTTGTGGTTGGTCAGTGTTTGTTTCCTAACATGCAAATCACTTGAGATGATGAATGGTTTTGCATAGTGCCCAATTTTGTTTTTCCAGTCTCTTCTGTATCATTTTGTGGTAAATGCCACCCCTCCTTGGTGGTCACCTTCACATAAAAATGTGCTTACTGCTTTGGGTATACTATACCAAGCAATTCTTTGTATTTTTTTCCTAACCTTGTGTGTATGTGTAACTGACTTTGTTGGTATTTTGTGTAGCAACCCTACCAGATTCCACCTTTCCTCATTTATTTTTGCTTTCTGTTAAGCGCTTCCCCTAGGATGTGAGACATTTATAGACAAAGAGAGGATGCATGGTATACCCATCTGTGACAGGAGAAAATATAGCTTGGGGGAAAAATCAAAGATAGCGATAAAGTCATTATGGGACCGGCTGATTTTCTTCCCACAAATGGGAAAAACATTTCGAGAATATCCACATAACACACAAGCTACCCCTCTATGTTTTGCTTCGTGTCAGAAGAAATAGTCTAAAAAGAGAAAATAATTGAGAGTGTGTTGATCTTACAGGAGGGGAAAAAATATATGTATTTTATTAAATAGCATATAATGAAAATGTTGATATAGTTGCCTGTCCCTCTTTTAGGGCTGGATATTGCTTGAGGTTTTCATACTAGTGCTTATACAATCACCTAATTTTGGGTTTGACACCAAAACAATATCTTTTTCTATGCCTTACATTGAGAAATAGAGACACATTTTTCTATAAAACGCTTTTTTCATTTAACCAAAGAAGCCAAAGTTCTTAACTGTTACTGATACATTGTCATACAACACAAGCAATTGTACAAAACATTGCCTTAAAAAAATTGGCAGAAGTGAGGGTTTAGTTTAGGTATTACAACTACAAATCTGGCATTCACTGCCAGTTTTTTAGTACTTTTAAGATTTTAAGCACTACAGACAAATTTCTGTCAGTGTTAAAAGAAAAGAATGAGATTTCAATACCCATCCCTACTGTCTGTTTAGCCGACTGATGCATGTTGCTGTTTTACTCCAACTTTTATGTTCAGTGGACAGCATGAGAGAGCTTAGCACCATCTCGCAGGCCTGGTTTAACGAAATTCTGAACACACAAATGGGAAACCAGTCTTCTTGTGGAACAATGGTTCGTTGATCAAAGAGCTAATTTGCCAAAGAGAGTGTATTCCTTTGAGGTTCTCTGTAGAGATATTACTGCCTTATGAGTGAGTCTGAGAGCAGCAGGAGAAACATAATGTTCCCTGCCATGTAAAGACTGGAACAAGAGTTCTCCAAGTTCATAAACTCAGTCTCAAATGTATTATGAATGGAGAGGCTCCGTATTTTGTGTCTAGATGGTGTCACTTTTGGTTCTCCGGTTTCATAGCTGTGTTAATCTTATGAAATATTTATTAGGCTCAGTATACATCATAGGCTTAAAATACAGTGTAGGAATTCTGGGTCAATGTAGGCCTATATGCTTTAAGTCAGGATGCATACAGGAAATATATGCAGAGGCTTTGGAGTTGTGATGAAATTTCGAAGAGCTTTGTGATCTAATTAAGTAGCTGTGGGAGGAAGACATACTGCATATCTGTACATTTGTGCCAAGAAGTGCAGGCCTCAAAATATGCCCATTCCCCCTTATGTGAATCATGCCAATGCTGTTATATAAGCAAAGACAGGCCTGGGAATATTTTTTCTGTTCAATATTTAATGCTTCTACCAATTTATATTCAGTTCATGCTCAGGCAAACACACACACAAATTGAAGCTTCTGTTTCTGTCCTTGTTTTTAACATGTTTTTTTATGTACCCTTTCTGTGAAAGGCCATTTCTAATGACTCATTATGCCATTTATTTGGAAGTGCGTTGTGGATGTGTTTGCAGCCGTATTAGGGCCTGTCTGCGGCAGTTAGAGAAGCCACTTTAGTCTGACAGAACACAGGCCTCAAACTTGTTTTTACGTAAATCAGGGGTTTACACACGCACACACACGGACAAAAAAAACTCCTCGGGTTTTAAGACTGAAAGAGAGTGAAGGTTTTGTCTGCCAGGCATATCCCTTCTGGTGAGATGAGATTAGCTGGGGCTCTTTGTGTGTATGTGTGTGTCTGTGTGTGTTTGTGAATGCACATTTCTTTTTATTGTTGTTTTATCTGAATCCCCATTAGTCACTGTTAGATGCTCTTTTTCTACTGTTCACAAGACCCCATACATGTACATGTACATGTTCATGTGTGTTTCCATGTACATTTCTGGGCGTGAATAGAGGAAGGGTATATGTGTGTTTGCAGGCTTGTGTGTGTGTGTGTGTGTGTTTTCCACCTTTGTTCACACATGCAGGTGTGCATCATGCACATGTGTCTTTGTGTATGGACAGTTGGCCTTGATGTGTATGGAGGTCTGGCAGTGCATGGGGGCTTTCTGCTGCCCAGAGAGGTGACCTTCGTAATCAGTCATGCTCAACCTCCCGCCCAGGGCTTCTGCCAAGCAGGACTCAGCCTAAAGGGGCCAATGCCAGACCACCAACCACCCAATGCCTCCAATCCAGGTCCTTGCATCAGCCCCTGGCCCTACACATCCTTGATAGAAAGGATCTTACCTTGGCCTTTAAGCAAGGACAGGCAAAGAGCAGCTGTCAATCACAAAAGCTGGACTCACAGAGGTTGGAGGATTTGAATTCATGCTGGAAACCTAACCGAAATGAATATAATAGGGCTGAGGAATAATCTCCCTGCATCATATTTTTATTTTTCCCAGAGTATCATAATGTGCGGTAGCTTTGCCAATAAAAACGAGACTGAAATGCTCAGTTAACCTACAGATGTTGGTCAGTTTTATACATTATTCAACAGATCTGACCGATTTGACAGAAAGCTATGCTGACAATACAATTATATAATATTGTATTTATTGTATAATTATATACAATATAAGGTGCAAGTTGTCTTACCTGAACAGGTAAACCTGGTATCCTTCAGAGCTAAACATAAGGCAGTGACTTTCCTAATTGTACAGGCAACCTGTTACTGACAGTAGGTTTGAGCCAGTCGAGTCAATGTTGTTTACATGGCTGAAAATCACAAATTTGCTTCAGAGGGCTTTACACTCTGTACAGCATACTCTATCCTTAGAACCTCAGCTTGGATAAGGAATACCGCCCACACACACACACGCACACACACACACACCCTCCCAAAAAAATGTTTATGGGTGGGTAAAAAAAGAGGCCATATTCAGACCAACTTTTAGCCCTGCATGAAAAAGAGACAAAAAATTAGAACCTGGCTTTTCAACCTTTGGTGGGCAACAGTGTAATGTCATCTGACGAGGCACTGTGTTGGACATTGCTGGCCCACATGGTTAATTACTTTGTAAAATGAACGTGTATTTTTATTGTTTACCTTTCCACAGTTGTAAAATCCTGTCTCAGAGTATTATAAGCCACTGTGCAGTGTTGCGTTGTGTGATAAGCAGTCAAAATCAAGGATATATTATTCAAACCAGCCTTCCTGGATCATATTTCATGTCTCACCTGTACCTGCATTGGGGTAGCATGTGAGCATTTGCTGCTTTTCTCTGTGTTGTATCATTATAAATGGGATTTATTGGGGTTTGAACTGTTGATTGAACAAAAAAAGCTATTTGAAGTCATTACTTTGTGCTCTAGGGAACAGCAATCGGCATAGTTTCTGACATTTTATAAAATAAACAATTGGTTCATAGACAAAAATAATGTTTGCATTTATTAAGATAAACATAATAATTAGTTACAGCCCTAAGCTTTAGCGGTGCTGTCATACATTTTTGAAATTGCAGTATTGAATCCTGAGTGTCTTATACTCAACATGCTCCTTTTTGTACCATCCAGGAGAGGCCCATGATAAGGACGTCCAGGTTGTGGAGTTGCCAATAGTGGACAGTCTCCACCCTCGGCCCCCCTACCTGCCCCTGGCGATCCCAGAGGACCTGGCCCCGCGCCTGCATCGTCTGCACGGCGACCCCTCCGTCTGGTGGGTGTCCCAGTTTGTCAAGTACCTGGTCCGTCCACAGGCGTGGCTGGAGAAGGAGATCCAGCAGAGCACCGCAAAGCTAGGCTTCAAACACCCCATCATTGGGTAAGGACACTCAGCTATCACGTCTCACTGTGTGTGGCTTTGTCTTCTCCTTTTTCTGTGGTTATAAAAACTTCACTAATAATGACTTTGTTTCTATAGCATATCTCTGCAATTACGTTTACAAAGTGCTTCACAATCAAGGCAAACAGGAGGCATAGGAAGAAGAAAACAAAGACATAGCCGTAAGGGCTATGGGGGAATACAAACACTGCTTTGGGTGAGGTTAACACGAGGTTAATACAATAGTATTAAAAGTAATTTAAAGTGATGGTAGTGTTTTGTTTGGTTAATTTTCTTCCTTTATTTATGCTTGGAAAGCTTGTTCATTACTTCACTTCTTAACACTCATATTCATGCAAATCAACTTGTTTAAAGAAATGTCATCATTCTGTAGTCATCACTCAGTATTTTCTGATAGTGGTGGTATGATGTCTGATTCTGCCTTGCTTAATGTGTTAAATTTCCCACAAGATTTATTGGTCTTTAGTTCAGGGGTTCTCAAACTTAGATCTGCATCTGATTTTTATTTAAGGTCAGACGTCTGAAACCATTAGTGAAAACAAAATGACATTTAACCACCTACATTTCTAACAAACAACACTTACACTTTGAATGTAGGAAATGTGTACTGGTCAATACAAGGGCACATTCTGTATCTGCGATTTCGGAGCTGATAGCAATCGTACGGTATGTTAATGTGTGAACTCGGCAGCAACACATTCTCTCTCCAGCAGTTAACGTTGCCATGACAACAGTGTCAATTAGGACATAAGCCACATTAAAACAAAAAACACAACTTGTGCATTAGGTTTTTTTCACCCGCAATTCTGTTTTTAACAACAGCAGCCATGTGCGGAGGAGGCTTATGTGTCTCTCTCTGTTTCTCTGCAGAGCATGTCCAATTGTCACTTCACTGTACAGGAAGGGGAGAGCAAGGGGAGATTGTCCACTAGTTAACCGATCCAAGATGGCGTCTGTCTCTCAGGCAGATAAACAATTTTTTAAAATAAAAAGTCATACTCAGAACTCATCTTGTTGGTAGAAAATTTTACACTTTAAAACATATTATATTCATAACACAGTGTGTGGACTGGGTCCGGATTGAATTGCCACTCGGTCCAGATGTGGATCTGGTGTTTGACGGCCCCTGTTAAAGCAGTTAAAAAGCTGAATACTGAATAAATAGATGACTGATTTTAACTTCAGTAAAAACAAACAAAAGGGAAGCGTATTACACAGTTAATGAATGCATTAAAATGAATAGCCTATCAGCTTTTCTTTTATCTCCAAGCCTTTGTTAATTGAGGGATAAAGCTATCTATATTCTATATTTTTCTTTGTCTATTGTTAACAAATCCCATGAAAAGACCAAAAACAATGATTATATCCTAAAAATGATTGTTTGTGCGGCCAAAGCCTGATATAGCTTATTCCTCCATAGAGCTCCATTGTTGTCCAAAAACTATTAAAAACACATAATCATCAATCATCAGCAGGAACAAACAGGCTTGAGGCCGAGTGCCACAGATGGAGGAGAGAAGTCAATAAGTACTGAGAGACAGACTAACAGTTGTTGGTTTTGGGCTTTCTTGACAATAAGAACAAGACTACAGCCACATTATAGCCTCTGTGACTGCTTTAAGTTACATGCTAATGTCAACATGCTAACATGCTCACAGTGACAATGCTAACATGCTGATGTTAAGCGAGTATAATGTTTACCATGTTTTTGCAGGTATTTGATCATAAACCAAAGACAATGGCTCTAAATTAAAAGGTAATGGATCAAACTTGTTATAACTCATCCTGAGGAGAACATGAAGGTGTGTAGCAGTTCATCCAATACCTGTTGAGACATTTCACACCACAAATGTCAGCCCTGCTGGTGGTGCTAGATGAGAGATTGGGGAATCACCAGAGTCAGCTGGCATCACCCTCTGGGGAACATTAACTTTAAAAAATGCTACTTTCGAGTTTGGGCAAAGTGGTGCACCATTAGACCGACCAGCATTGCAATCCCCAGAGCCATGCAAACATGTCTAAAAACAATACAAAATAATGCAATCCTTGTCTTTTAACAATCCTTTCAGAAGTCCTCCCACATTTGAGACAAAAAGGCCTCCACAGTCTGTACAGTGCACCTCAGTGTCCTAATATCTGAGTACACCTAGATATTACTTTTCATGAAATTTGGCCTAAATGGTGCAGATGAGACGATACCAACCGGTCCAAGCATAGCATTATTAGGTCTGATTTCAGTCTTTGATATTGCCCTGGTTTGGATTGCAACAACTCAGCATTGTGCTGTCTCCAGAGATTCTGCTCTCACAACTTGGGACATCTTGGGTCCAGCGCAGCATAATTGGAAAAGTATTCATTAGTTAGAGGTGCTCAGTTCCCAGGAGGGCCACCCCTTGTGGGAATGTATGCAGTCACAATACTGTAAGCCACTTTTGATAGCAGCTTCTAAGAAATGGGTTGAGCATGTTTAGCTGTTTATTTTTCTTTCTCTGTATCCCTGTCAGGCGCTCAGTCAACAAACATTCATGTGCTTCTTTTGACTCCTGCATCAAATACGTTGCAAATCCTTTTCCTCAGTTTCTTTTAACCTACTTGGTCTAGAAAGTTGGGAGGGAATTTACCATATTATGACAATGCATATAATAACTGGTAAGCTGTCAGTCTTGGGAAAGTATATAAAATGACTTTCAGGTACTTTGCTGAGATTGTCTAAAGTTTTTTGCACTGTCCCATGAGGCTGACTCCACCCGGCTGGTAAAGAAAGTAGTTTAGAACAAATGCTAAGAGTTATATTCTAATAGTTTGTGAAGTCAGCCTGGTTTAGTTCTGTCATCCCCTTCATATCCCTCAAATCCGTGTGTTCATAGTCTCTGTGCTAGCTTCTCGCCCTTCATAACTACTCTTTTTCTCACCTTCTTCTTAATATTTTGCTGCGAGCAGCTGTCGCCGTTCTTTCCTCACTTTTCCTGTCCTGCTCCGCTTAGCTCTCACTCCCTCTTGTTACACTCTCTCTCTCTCTCTTTTTTCTATGTCTGTCTGTCTTTTCTCAGATGCTCTTCTCTTTGGTTTTTACCTCTCTTCCTTTCATCACCCTAGAAGCTGCCATCTCTTTCTCCAAGCCCTCTTTGACTCTCCTCCCCCTTTCTTTCTCATTTTTTTTTCTTGTGAATCATCCCAACTTTTTCAATCTCCCCGTCCTCTCACATCCTCTCATTTGTGATCATTGCTCCATCTCCATTTGTTCATCCTGCTTTATGATTTTTAAAATTTTTATATTTCACACTCTCCCTCACGTTCCCCGGGCGCACATCAGCATTCACAATTCTCTTGCTCTCATAGTGTTACACACATCTCTGTCACTGTTCTTTTGTTTCCCCCTCTGTACACTCATATATCCCACCCTTTTTCTCCCTCCATATCACTGGGGAAAGGCTTATTGAAATGTAGTGCTGGGTAGAACAGAAGTTTTTATCCCTTCTTTTTCCTTCCCTCCCCAGCTCTTGATACATCCACTCCACTCTGCACTGATGTTGCAACAAAGTGCCTGTGTGCTTCTACCAGCACTGTGGGGGAAGGTGATACGTGTGTATGGAAAAGTGAGGGAGGGGGTGAATGTGAGATGTAAAAGTGGAGTTGAAAGAGATTCATAGTGTCGGTGCAAGAGAAAGGCAAGAAAGGGGACCGCAGTGGGAGAAGCAGTGGTTGATGGAGAGAGTACCAAGAGGAATAGGACGGCAGCTTGTCCCCAGAGCACCCAACAACCGCCAGCCGACCCCCACGTCTCAGTCACCGCCAGCACCCTGTCCCTGCCGCTCCCTTAGGAAGTGCGCTGCATAAAGGCTGGAAGCCATAGACTAAAGGCAGTTCCACCCTGCCACCATTTAAGGCTCCCTAATGGCCGTAAGGATAGTCAGAGAGAGTGAGAAAGTAGGGTTTGTGCTTCTATTGCAGATACCAGAGTGGTGTTATTGCCATGGCAATGTGGTTACCAGGAGGTGGATTTACAGTCTATATCTTTTTATAATATCTTGTGTCAGGTCAATTCTGTATGAATAAGGCTTACAATATATTGTGTGTTATATCCTTTTTTTAAATCATAGAATCTCTCAAAAAATATCTTTCCAAGAATCAGTAAAACAAAAATGTGATTTTAAAAATACAGTTTTCAGCAGAAAATCTGTTCATGCTTTTTTTTTTTTCCCTAACTTGAGAGCCGCTGGTGCATAATCAGCAACTAATTAGCATTTTCACAATTTTTTACTCACTTTATATTAATATTATAAAATTCTCTGAGCTGTTGCTTGTTGCAAGAGAGCCTAATTTACAATAAACTGCAGTAGTTGGCATCTTCTTGCAGCAGGAAACCGAACAAATCACTAAATGAAGTAATTTGGTCTCTACCAACTCCTGAGGGAAATATCTGGCTGTTAGTTGTTCCACTATGATTACCAGCTAGTCACAAACTTTGTCTGGCAGCAATTTGGCACTGGGGAGGTAAAATACAGAGAGATTTTAGAGGTTGTTTTTTTTTTTTTTATGATAACAGCTGCCTGCTGCGTGTGTAAATGACGTTGATCAGAGTTGTAAGAGTGAACCAAAACAATGACGTTTTTGGCCTCCAAATCAAAACAGTGAGCCATAGGAGAGGGACTGTGAAGTCAATGATAATTCTTCATTGCTATTGATTAGTGCAGCTTAAACTTTAAATGTTTTAAAACATTTTTACTTGAATTTTTAATAAAATTGTCAAAGATCTCTACTTCCACTAAGTTTAATTTACTTGTTCTCCATGTGTATCACATAACAGGTTTGAATTGGGTAATTTATAACTTAAAGCATAAATTAAAGCATATGGTTTTATATCTGTATAAACAAGTATCATACTGAAAAAGGAAAAAAAATTATATGATATATGAGTATTATATTAAAGTGGAGAAACATGGAAAATGAGGACACTTGCATACAAGGCAGGTTTGTATATGACCATAACAAACACCAGATCTCAATCAGAGACATTTTAGAGCAACGTGTTAGATGGTGCTCTCCATCACCATCATCAAAACACCAAATGAGAGAACATCTTTTAGAAGAACGGTGTTAATCCCTCCAGTTCCACCGACAGTCGGTGCTAAAAGCACTGACAGTGTTCTAGGGGCTCTTTGTGGACCAACACTTTATTAAGACGCTTTTTGTTCGCCTCTCATTACATTTGTCATCCTTCGTAAATGTAAATCCTAAGAACAACTTTGACTTGGTTTTGATGTCAAAGTACATGTTGCTTTAACACTGATTATGCACTAAGTATAGATGTAATATGGTATGAGCGGTTTTCTAAACATTAAAATGCTAATGGCAGCTTTGGTATATTTCGAAAGCTAAGTCACCCAGAGGTACTGTATTCTTTGTCATAGGCAGCTGAGGTCATTGTCAAACAGAAAAATGTATTCGGTCTGTAGGTTATTGTCATAATCTGCCAGAATCAGCACTTGCTCTGTCTAGTGTGGGTGTGTTTGATGTCTTTAATGTATCCTTTTACGCCCACCATGAGGATTGCCCTGGCTTGCCAGTACTGTATGAACAGAAAGAAATGAATTGAGTTATTGTGGCAGTAGTGTGGGAGAGTGCTGGGAGTGAAGGAGGGAGGGAGGGAGGAGATGGCTAAGAGCTAAGCAATGTCTCAGTGCGGCCTCTGCTGCTCTGCTGCAGAGAAAAGGGCAAGACAAAAAGAGGGTTCACAGGAACAAAAAAACAGTAGACATGAAAGAAGCGAGGAAGCAGGAGAGAGGGACCCTGACAAAGGTTGGAAAATCCTGGAGTCGAGACCTCTTTCTGATCAGTGAGACAGAGCCGAATGAAAGACTCCGACACCCCTGGCACCCACTCATCCACTTGTTCACACTCCATTCTTTGGGTTTTATTTGCCACGTAAATAAAGGGTCTATTTCTCCGGCGAACATCCCCCAAAAGTCACTGATTGATGCAAGTGGTCGAAATTAGGTACAGCCTGTTTATTCTCCTTCTCTGAACCTCTGACTCTTTCTGTTGTACTTTTTTTTACCTCATTTTCACAAAAGAGATAGAGGCAGCCTTGAGGTGAGAGAAGCTGTTTCAATCTCTAAAGCAACTGGGGAATCCTGAATGGGGGGGAGTAAAAGACTAATATTCTTCACTAAAGAGTGCTTAAAAAGGCTCCTGACCCCAGATGTTTCAGTGGAGTGGCTCCTGCGTCAGCAGTAGAGAGCTGGTTGTACTGGGCTGCTCCCAGATGGAACTGTATGGATCAATAAGTGAAGGTTGAACATTTTATTTTTTCCTCTTAGATTTTTACATTTAATTCGTTCCTCAAGGCGAGAAGTCACAATGCAGATGTGGTTGGGTAGTTTTGTAATTGAATAGTTCTGGATGGAATGAAATTGTGTTTCAGCATCCATCACTTTGAGGGATGCTTCTCTGTCAGGAGAGGAAATATTTCCATTGTCGCCCATCCTTTGTTCTGTTTACAAGTTGTGGTTTTTTTTTGTCATATGTACAGCTGGTGACAGCGCTCTCTCTTTGTCCTTGCTTACTGGAAGCGATGACAAGGACACTGAAAAAAATACATCTGTGTTGGTTATTTCTCGGTCTGTCTTTCTTAAACTTCCTCTCTCTGTCACCATTTTCTTATCTCTTTTTTTCTTTGTCTTTTGTCCCATGATTTTTTGTTTTGTTTGCGTTTATACCAACAATGGAAAGGTTCCCAAAATATGCCATTCAAGTTGAAGTGCCGTTTCTTTTGCCGATTTTTACTTTGACAGAAAAAGAATCACTGCTGTGAACCACAAGAAAGACTGTAGAGTTAAAAATAGGTTGTCTCAACAAGAATAAAAAACGAAAAATAAAACGCCAGTACATCAACAGTAAGGTCCTCAGTGTTTATCCACAGCCAGTGATGTTCCTTCACCTTGTTTTACTTAATTAAGATTCATTTGTAGATCATTCACTCTTCACTATCATGCTTTAGGACTACAACACTTGTCTTCTTACGCGTGTGATAGAACAATGCAAATCTTTTGTGTCTGAGAAGTTTTCTATTTCGTCCAAGCTGAATTTGTCTAAACATAGAAATTTGTTTGGAGGAAGCAGGCAAGATTCCACTTGTCATTCAATATCTCACTTTCTGATTTAGGCTTAGAATCATGTGTGTATATATATATATATATACATATGTAAATATGTATATTGCAAGTCTCAGCATTTAAGCAGCTTGTACTTAAAAGACTGGTGGTACACTGGTGGCTCTAAAGCAGCACAAACAAACGTTAAGTGATCTAAAAAAGGAAGTGGTGGAGCAGGTGTAAGGCCAAGTGTAGAATGTTAAAGGGAAATGATGCTTAATTCTGTGAATGCTAGTGCTAATAATACCCCTGGTGTGAAATTGAAGCTACCAGTTTTGGTTCAGCTTGCCAACTGCCACCGACTTCATGAAGTTTGATGTGTACCAGCGCTTCGTGAATTTTCATTACCTTGGAATTGTGTTTATAAGTTTATAAGACCCATTGTTCTCCTGCCATCCAAACACAACTAAGTGCATAGGTGCATTATATTGCACAGTATGTGATTGTAAAGGCACCACCAACTGTGATAATACTAAAAGTCCAAAAACTCCACACCAACTTCCATCAAAAGCTATATTAAACCATACAAAGAAAAGCAGTGAAATATAATGAAAAGCCTCTCATTAACATTAGTTGCAAGGTTGTAGTCTGTAACCCTGTCTGTCTCTCTTTGTTTTTCTGTAGAGTCCATGTGAGGAGGACAGATAAAGTGGGGACGGAGGCAGCCTTCCACCCCATCGAGGAGTACATGCTGCATGTGGAGGAGCAGTTCCAACATCTGGCCAGACGTGTCCACGTGGACAAGAAACGAGTTTACCTGGCTACTGACGATCCCTCCCTGCTGCAGGAAGCCAAGACCAAGTCAGTGTCCAGGAGTGTGTGTGTGTGTGTTAGTGTGTTAGTGTGTGTGTGTGTTAGTGTGTGTGTGGATGAGGGTGTGTACAATATCTATGTGAGAGTACGTTATCCATAACTATCTAGCTCTATTCATTTTTACCTTCTCTTGTCTTGCGACTGTCTCACTCTGCCTTATTGTCCCTTTCAGGTATCCAGACTATGAGTTTATCAGTGACAACTCAATCTCGTGGTCGGCAGGCCTTCACAACCGCTACACCGAGAACTCGCTGAGAGGCGTCATCCTGGACATCCACTTCCTGTCTCAGACCGACTTCCTGGTCTGCACCTTCTCCTCACAGGTCAGTCCGCTCTCCCCAGTCCACATTTAGAGACGGCAGGATGTGGTCTTTTGATGTTTTTTCTAACGAAACATCAAACATGGAGAGCTGAGTGGAATTTTGATGTGCGCTCGCATTGAAGCATGGAAGTTGAATAAAACAAATAGTGTTCATATATATATAAAAAAACCATGCATTTATTGTTGTGTTGGGGCATGGGTTGTTACATAGATTTATTCATATGTAACGGTTCCCATCGGACTTCCTTAAAGGGATAGTTTGGTTTTGATGTTGGGTTGTATGAGGTGCTTATCCACAGTCAGTTTGTTACCTGCAGGAGATGGTAGTCGGCACGCCCCCATTTTGAAAAAGCAGACACAGCATGGAAGCTAAGCAACAAAAAGTATTTCAGCCAACTAAAGAAAATGGCCCACCTTATTTAGGTAGCCAAAATACATTTTGTTTCTGCTCCCACCCACAGTAGTACATTGCTTAGCTTCCGTGTCAGGACTCCCACCTGCTTCTCCAAACTGGAGGCGTGCTGACCGCCGTCTACTGGAGGTACACACTGACTGACACTGACACACTGACTATGTATAAGTAGCTCATACAACCCCATTTAAAAAAACTGAACTATCGCTTTAACATGCTACTGAATGCACATAATATACAGTTAAAGCTGAATTATTGGTTTGACCAAAAAAAAAAACTTAAGGCAACACGTAGTTTTTCCACGTAGTTAAAATTTTCTGGAGCTTTCATCCCAAGGCCTTCATACTCAGTTTTCATGGTTGTTTAGAAAACAATATCAGGTCAAACTGACAAAATGTTTTTTGTTAAAATGTCCTATTGTCACTTGATGTTTCCAGTTTGTCACAAGGCAAACCAGATCCTGAAAATTGCAATCATGTGATTGTCAACAACCTCATTGTCCTATTTTCCCTCACATGTTTCAAAGCATAAAAACAATTAGCCCATTTATTACGGCTTTAACATAACAATGGCATTTGTCGTCCATTATTCTGATCATCTTTAACATAGAGTGAACAGGCTTCCTGCCAACCCTAAAAATAATGTGTGAGCCACATAATTCCTATTCACACTCTGGGCTTATTAGTCCACTTCAAGGATCTGACTGTAATGAGTCGCTTAGCACATTTTATCCCTCTTTTACCAGGACTGAAACGAAATGTGTACGTCTTACAGTAAGAAGTCCCTTTGTCCCTCTACCAGAGCTGTTCTCTTTCCTCTACAGCTTTTTATCAAGACAAATGTATTTATGGGCATTTATAGATCTAAGTATGAAAATAATCCCTGGTTCTGCTTTTGTCTCAGGTCTGCCGTGTGGCCTATGAGATTATGCAGATGCTGCATCCAGACGCCTCCTCTTTCTTCTACTCCCTGGATGACATCTACTACTTTGGAGGTCAAAACGCCCACAACCAGATCGCCATCTACCCCCACCAACCACGCAACAGCGAGGACATTCCCCTGGAGCCTGGCGACGTGATCGGCGTGGCCGGCAACCACTGGGACGGATACTCCAAAGGCATCAATCGCAAACTGGGCCGCACCGGCCTCTACCCTTCCTACAAGGTCAAAGAAAAAATCGAGACCGTGAAGTACCCGACGTACCCCGAGGCTGACAAACTGCTCAACTCTCAAAAGAAGTAAAAGAAGAAATGAAAAAAATAAAAGAAGAGAAGGAGTGAGGAGAAACACGCAGACTCCGATTCCAGGGAAGGAGGCTGCTTTTGTACAGAAGAAGAGAGGCGTACTTAGTGCGCTAAGCTGAGAAGAAAAGAAAAAGCCTGTACCCAGGGGTGATAGGAATGAGAATGCACTCTGTGTGTTTATGTGAGTGTGTGTGTGTGTGTGTGTGTGTGTGTGTGTGTGTGTGTGTGTGTGTGTGTGTGTGTGTGTGTGTGTGTGTGTGTGTGTGTGTGTGTGTGTGTGTGTGTGTGTGTGTGTGTGTGTGTGTGTGCGCGCGAACGTGTGTGTATGAACTTGTGTAAATGCCTGTGCATATGTCAGGTCATGGAGACTTGCACCCTACCACTACTCCCCCTGCCCGATGCTCTGACGTCGGGTCTGTAGAGATGTAGACGTTGAACATTGATTTTAAATAAAGCAAGAAAACAATTAAAATCCACACAACTGACCGAGCTCGCTCTCCAGAGACAGGACTGGGACTACTGTAAGACTGGCACACCCCAGAGTTAGCTTTGAATCAATGACTGGAAAAAAAAAGACAAACTGGAAAAAAGTGTTTTGATTTTTATTTAATTCTTTTCAGTGGTTTTGATTCTAATCTTGCCTTTTTTTTCTTTTCTTTTTCTCCTGTTTTTTTGTTCACTGAATGTACTGTATCCTCTTCTTGCCATGCCCACCGCTACCCAATTCCCCCACCTCCTCCTCCTGCTCCACTCACTGTGCTTCCGCCATTTCGTCTCTACATGTGCAATTAATTTTAAAATACCATATTGTGCTTTTATCGAGTGTTTTTAACGGTCTTAATTTTGTGTGTATGGGGCTTGTGCATTGTATACTGTACAGTGAGCGTGTATGCGTGCGTGGATGGATGTGTGTGATCAAGTGTGCCTGTGTGTGCTGTTTAAGTCTAAGGGGCCATGTCACGACCTGGTGCCTGGTTATTGGTGAGCAGTGTGTGTTTTTATTTCCGGCTTTCCTCCCGACTGAATAGTGTTTGTGTGGCCAGCGGGAGACAGGCGGTGACAGTGGGGGATTGTCCTGAGCCCCCCCCTAGCACTTGGAACAATGGTGAACTCCAGTCACTCCGCTGGTGACCTCTAGTGAACAATGGTAAGATTATGTGGAGTATGGTGAACTCATGGTGCACGCACACACCACAGACACAGGAGCCGTCCCGAGGCTCACCAAAAGAAGCACTCCACTGAGATAGTGTCCTTCTCTGCTGTCTCTTCTGTCCATCTGTTTGTTTGTTTTTTTTACTTTTAACATTGCTGTTTTAAAATAAATGAGGAAAAATATGCCTATGTTTAAAAATGATGATGCTATGTCATATCAAACTCAGAGTCCCCATCATGAAGGCTTTTTTTTTTTTCATAAATTATGTTCTTGGGCATTGTCTTTGATAACCACAGATCGAATAAACTTGAGAAACCAACACGGCATTTTTTTTTCCTTTTCAGTCTGATTCTGTTCACCATCTGCTCCTCCATCTCTTAACGGGCGACACCTGCTCGTTCAATCAGTCAGCACATGCTTCAAATGCATTACACACATTCCAAACTGAATATCCAGGCTTTTTTTTAATATATATATATATTTAAAGAGTTCATTTCCTGAAGGGTATCCATCTATTTTTGAAGAGTAAAAGTCATTACCTTAAGTTCATCTTTTGATATCATAAAACAGAGGACCCTGCTTCTAAAATTGATATCATTTTGACATTGCAGGATCAGACCTACCTCCTACATTCAAATATTACCAGTAGTTTGTCTTATAAATCATTCAGTAAGAATCAATTTTCAAGCCATTTCAGTGGGAAAAAAACTCTTAAACCTATCTTTAACTTACATTTGAAATTGAAGAGCAAGATCAGTACCTTCAACAGAGACATTACCATCCTTCATTTTAATATTCCCTGTGACAGCTACATGACATTTCTGCCCCAAATAACCAAACATCTCTCCCCGCGGAGCCCCAACGCAGGTACGTCATTAAAGCACCAGAAGACTTCCTGCTCTTGTCGTGCGTCCTACTTCCTACTTCCTGCATGTCTAAATCGTTTATAATCTCGTTCTCTGTGTCTTATTTATGGGCTGTCTTGTTACTTTCTTACTGAGGGGGCTCTGGGAGTTTCATTACAGATCCCTCTTTAATTTCAACGCTGATCTGCATGCTTCATTGGACACCCATAAGGAAAGCTGCAGCGCTGGTAGGGGAGATGAGCTTTTTGGTGTGTGCGAGGGAGAGTAATAGTTTTATTGCTTTTTTTCTCCCCCTGCTTGACAACAATCCGCAACCAATTTAGCCCACGTTGACAAAGCGTGCACAATGCACATGCAGCGTACAGCAGTTCATTGAACATCTCTTTTCAGTAGGAAGGAGTCCCTCGTGGGCTTTATAAACGCACACACTAACTGGAGGGCGCTTTAATTAAAATACACTCGTTGCTGTCACAGTGGCCTGTAACAGTCGTTTAAGAGAGACGTTAGTTCAGTTAATTATTCTGTTAATTGGACTCCGCTCCTGATAGAGAGCAGTCAGGGTTTTAGGAGGCGAGTTTCTTTCTCTGCATTTGTGGTCTAATTGTTGTGTAGCACGTTGAGAGCACAGTGAGGCCATTTTCAGGCCTCCCACTTAAAGTTGTGTCTTGAAAGGGAAACGGTCCAATCTGAGGGCCTCCTCCATTTTCAAACCCATGTGTCAACAGGTTAGATTCTCCCACAGCCTTGATGTAAAGCATGGACTCACATGTAAGAGATGGGGAACAAAATTGACAGTCCCTTTTTGTTTACCCACAGAGTGTTTCCTTGCTGAGCTGCAGCGGAGGGACGGTGAGCCAAAGAGACGAGAACAAGAAACGTCTACTGTCATGCAAGCTATGAGGCAGTACTAAAGCACAGTGGTGTTCTGAGTTAATTGCTTGCTTGATTGTTCACCGTGTAGCATTTTAGCATGCAAAAATGTGCTAATAAACAAACCCAAGGTACAGTTGAGGCTCATGGGAATGTCTGAATTTTGCAGGGATATGGTCATAAATTGACATTTTGACCTGATGGAAGCACTAGATGCAAAATTGGGATCACCAAAGTCATAAGTTATCCTCTAGGGACCTTTTCTGCAATGTTTGCAGAGTACAGCAACCTTGTATCTCCATTTAATAGTTGATGAGCTATTTTTACTCTGAACCAGAAATGTAAGCCTCTTGGTGACACTAGATGATCACCAGTGTCATTAGGATTCATCCTCTGGGCATCATGGAAGCCTGCACAAAATATTATGGCAATCCATCCAATATTTGTTGAGATATTTCAGTTTGGACCAATGGTGGACCAACTGACAATGGCACCCATAAAGCCATGCAACAAGTGTGTCCAAAAATACCATACCCACTTGACTTGACTAACTCGGACTGTTGAAGCCTCATAGTCAAATTGGCTGAACTTTAAATTGTTGCGTGGATCAAAGATTTTAGATTTTGTCTCTCATCTCTTACACTGGAATCCCCTTAGTAAGGATTCACTTCACAGCCATGAACATATAGTATAGTAACTAATAATCTTTAATTGTATGCGTTTCATGTTCAGCATTGTGTGAGCTCATCTGGCAAGGCCTGAATGTAACAGACATTCATTTATAAGTCCCACACACTAGCTTTAAGAGGAGCTTGAAAAATAGTGAACCTCTCCTTTAATGCTCCAAGAACATGGACCAAGATTTCAATGTGGCCGTGTAACTCTGATGGAATTCATATTATATAGAGATAAGTGGGTACGCCATCGCCTTGTGGAATTCTAATCTTGTAAAGGGCAGCTGAATTAATTCTGACTGACTCATGAAAAAGGGAGAGGAAATGGAAATGATTATTGTAGTCCTGGCTGGCTCCAATCAGTACTCTGTTGGCACAGCAGTAACAAGTGAAGTCTGCCCTACGGTACCTGGCCCTGCACATCAAAGCTGAGGGGAGGAACTCGAACAAGAAACTGTCAGGCTTTCACAAGGCAAAGAAGATTGTAGGGTGTCAATCTTTCTCCTCTTCACCTTAAGTCAACTCAGCAATCGGTCGCAGTTTGGCTTTTATTAGCTTTGTATTTTTAATCCCACCTGTTATCTTGACTCACTATACACCTGATTTTATAAACCTTATTCTTGGCACGGAATGGGGCCAATTGAAGCCAGTGAGGAGTACGTCACCACTCAGAGGAACAAAAGCGTTTTGTTTGGCACACATACTGTAACGGTGATTCCTGCTGTGAATCCAGTAAATCATTGTTTTTAATGGAGTGCTGACACATCGGAGGACTATATTGCTATTTGGAAAACAGACACCTCTTTAAACCAACATTTTGCTACAAAATCTTTATGAATGAAACAAGAATGTTTTTTTCTTATTTGCTATTTGCGGGTCTACCAAAGCTACTCCACACTCTGTTTGGAGGTGAATTAAAACCAAATTGATGACTGTTTTTTAGACCCTTACAGTGAATTTGGACATTAGGTTTTCAAGGATTTATCATATTGCCAGACTGCTTGGACGGTGTGTATACATATATATATATATATATATAAAGCTTTCAGGTGTATGCTATATCTGTACATTGTGCATAGATAATTTTTACTGAAAGACCAAAAAGAGTGTCTAATCTATTGATACATATTGCATACACGTATTCATGTAACACAGTACTAGTAGTCTATGTATTAAGTATGAAATATTGTTATCATCCTGCTGCAAGTGTAACAGTAGGTGATAAAAGGTTGAAACCAGGTTAAAACACACACAAGTAACCAATTAAGTCTCACTGTGAACATTCAGTTTCATTTTGAGAGTAGTGTGCAGTGTCCGAATACACCATAGCTATCGGGGGAGCCCTATTTGTCAGGGGTGGGAGGGTTCTAATGTATATGCACGCGTATACATGAATGCTCATGTCTCTTTCAGAGGAGCCAAGCTCCCTGTAGCTCCCCGGTAGTGCTCTAATTTCTGTCTGAAAATAACAGCAGAACACGCTTGATAACAATTTCATTTGAGTTTCATGTACCGGTAGTGGAGCTGTTGACAGTTTCATAAAGACCACAGCCGGTCTGAGAGCTCTGTGATGTCACACAGATAATGGAGCTTCAGTCACTCGACACTCTGTAGCTTCCTTTGTTGTAAAATAGACAAAGCGCTTTGTATTACCAGCCTGATGAAGACCAAGTGTATTATTAGCACTGTGACAATGATGTCATAATAGTGCATATTAATACATGGTAATGATGGCAGTGAATGTAACATTGTGATAGAATATGATGATGTTTTAAAGGATAATTTTGGTTTGTTGTCTTATATTCATAGTTTTGGCTATCATTCCTATCAGTAAATGTTGAGATCTGAGAATGCGTCTGACTGTGCAAGAAACTCGAGCAGTCAGACAGTTATCCAGATTTTAAAGCCCCAGAAATCTTCACTTCAGATCATTATTTTTTCTCTTTCACATGAAATATTCATGTCTATACAGTCAACTCACCAACTGTCTTCTGATTCTCATTTAAATGTTACTAAACTCTGATTGGTAAATGAAAGCATGTGACATTACCCTTTTCCAACAAAGTTCCACCTACTTCAAACCAGCAAAAAAACAGAAATCTCTGAGGTAAAAAAAAAAAAAAAAAGGTTGGCTGAAAATAATGTGTTTATGTCAGATCCCATTGCTCATAGTGAGAAGCTGACTGAGGAAACACTGTAAGTTGTCAGGGCCTGTAACTGTACATAGTAAACATCCATCACTGTTTACAGACCAACTGTACTTACCATGGTCACTCTCACATGTGGTTTTCCTGGTGCCCTGGGGAATTATTGCCATGTTTGGTTTACGATAAAATAAAGTGGTTAAGATAGTTAGGTTATAAATCCCCAGGCCATGGACAAGTACCAGACCTTGGATCATATGCTACTGAGCTTCTAGGAAACGATATGATTGGGCATAAAAAAAAAGCACTGCATACTAATTATATAACTTCATACATTATTAAGGGCAATTATTTTTTGTGGTAATTAACTCGAACTCGGGGCAATCCGTCTGTCCTGCATCCCTCCCTGTTTTACGCCTCCAACAACAACACACATTTTTAACTACAGAAGGTCCTCTACACCTTTCAGCATTTAGCAGATTAAATCTATGCGAGAGGTCTACCTGTATGTTTTTATTTAGTAATTCACCACAGTGACATACAGACCAGATGAAAGTTCCATTTTTGCTCATCCAATCTCTCTTTCTTAGTCAGCCTTTTTCAGTTCTTTCTATAATTTTTTTTTACTTGATATTAAGGATTGTGTGTTGGGAGAATAAACAAAAAGAAATAAACTATCCAACGCCGATGTTGTGCCTGTTCTTTTAAATAATTTGGCTAAACTCACAATTTGTCAGAATGTCTTGTGTTTCTTGCCCTATTAGC